CCCCCTAAACTTGTTGGAGCCAGCTTTCAGCACATCCAGGGATGACTGCCTGCAGTGACGTTTCCGTGGAACATTCTCAGCAGTCACCTTTGGACATATTTCCTCTGAGGTGTCAGTGCTGTTCATGTTCCAACGGGTGCTGCTCATGAAATGAGCCTCACGGCTATGCTGGGGACAGATTTTCAGAAGGGGGGTTGTCTCGGTGTTCAAGCAGGTCAGGGTGGGTGGCAAACTGTACCTCCTTTTACCCCCTTTGTCATGCTCAGGACTCTGAGGTACATTGGGATAAAGGAAGGTGGGAAGGGAAGGGACATTAGATGCCCTCTTTAAGGTCACTTTTGCTGTCATGGCTGCCCCAGTGAGGTTCAAGGTTCGATCCGACTGCCTGGGCTTAAGTTTTATTTTAAAATTGTCCCCCCAGGGTGACTGTTGCCTAAGAATAAGATATGTAGCCATCACCTGGTCAAACTTCTTCTTCTGTAAAGCTTCCCGTGTCTCTCATTTCTTGTATCCCATGACTCTCATGATGACCATTACAGTGGGGTCTGGGTGGCTGTCAGTGTTCCCTCTAAAGAAATCCAGAGAACCTTCGCTGTCATGTTTTAGCCATGGAAAGTGCAGAATGTCTCCAGTTGTTGGCCGTAGTCTAGGGTTTACAGTTAACAACTTAGCAAACACATCCCAGAGCTCCTTCAACAGCTTGAATCTGACGGAGTACTTTCCTGCCAAGACCCTCTGCTTTAGCCCTTCATATGTACATCCCTGGAAAGGGAGGCACCCGGTCGACATAAAGTAGAGCACAACCCCCAAGCTCCAGACATCAATTGCAAGGCCATTGTAGTCTTCTCTTTCAAAGAGTTCTGGGGCACAATAAGGGGGGGGTCCCACAAAAATCTGCCTGCTTCTGTCCCATGGTGAGCTTGGTGGCCAATCCAAAAATCGCTCAGTTTGATATTCCCTTTGCCATCCATTAATATGTTTGCAGGCTTTAGGTCCCTGTGGGCAATTCCCTTCTGTGGCAATACTGGAGGGCACGTACTATCTGTTTAAATAGCCTACGGGACTCCTCCTCTGGGAGGTGGCCAAACTCTGTAATCCTGCCCATCAGTTCTCCTCCCTCGGCATGTTCCATAATCATGTAAGTGTGGTTTGTGGTGTCGATTATGTGCAAAAGTTTGATAACGTTGGGATGGTCTAGGGGTTTCATTATTTCAATTTCTGATTTGATGAAGGTGTGCCTCCTGCCTTTTGGAAGAACTTTTACTGCTATCCTTGTCTGGGTGAGGAGATGGCTAGCCAATTTTACTTCCCTGAATCCTCCTTGGCCAAGTGTTTGTAAGATTTTATAATGTTCTGTTAAAGCCTCTTCATCAAAGGGGTTGGAGCTGAGGTCTTGAACCACTTGCCACCTCTTCATCTTTGTTGATATAAATGCCAACACCAACTAGTGATGCAAGATAAAAATTAATTAAAAGTGGGTCTAGGACAAACATAGCCTGAATTCCTGCACTTAAAAAAGATAGATAGATAGATAGATAGATAGATAGATAGATAGATAGATGTCCCAAATAACCTAATGATGCTGTCGAGGTCATGGGAAAACAAGAACCAGCCAAACCGAAAAGAAATAGAAGAAACAAGTATAGAGCAGAAACTGAGGAAATAGCAACTAAAATAACACAAAGACCGCCGTAACAAAGACTTTTTTTTTTTTTTAAGGATAAGGATACAAGCTAATAATATTAAAGACCAAGTAAGGTGTTATCACCAGAGATGCAACTGAAATCCAGACATCCAGGCAATCACTAGGGAAAATGGTCCAGTGAATTGGGAAAATCTAGAAGAAACTGATAAACCTCTAGACACACATTAACTACCAAGTCTGAACTAAGAAGCTAGAAAACACCTAAACTGTGAAAACACCTAAACTGTAGGAGGCAGAGGTAGTGGAAAACAAGAAAACAGTGCTGTCTGGACCCAGCTGGGTGACAGCATATATGATCTCCCAGCATTGTGACCTGCCCAGGCTGCACACAGACAGAAATCTCAGATGGAGATGGGAGGTAGACGAGAACTCGCACTACTAGCTAATGAGCTATTTGCAATTGAGAGTTGCCAGGAGAGCACACATTCTAAGGATGCGGCCCCTCATTGGTTGGACAGACTACTCTTCAGTGGAACGCCACATACCCAACAACAGAAGGACAACAGAAACTCTACTTGATGGCCAAAACCAAACCAAACCCAAAAGACACAGATCTGGGCGCTAGGAAAGGGAGTGTGGGGAAAGAATAAATAGGATCAAAATGTATTATATGAAGTTCTCAAAGCAGTAACTGAAAACAGAAAAAAAAAAAAAAACAACCACACTGAAACAGTACTTAAAAATAATCTCTTGAACAAAAACAAAACAAAACAAAACAGGATCAGACAAACTCATTGGGGACTTTTTATTAAACCTTTAAAGAGGAGCTAACAGCAATGCTTTTCAAACTAGTATATGAAATAGAGGCAGGAGGCTTCCAGAATCATCCTATGAACTGTATTACTCAGATATGGAAACTAGGTGGATACAGTAACAAGAAAAAAATAGAACCAACCTCTGTGAAAACAGACACAACAGTCCTTAGTAAGAGCACTTACTACTTCACAGTTAATTCAGAAGCACTTACTGGGACCAAACTTCATGATCAAATGGGTTCACCTAGTCAGACAAGGGCTGCAACACACACCAACTGATTAATGACACTGGGTAGAAACACAAGGGCAACAATCACATACTCAGCTGAAAAGAGTGAAATGTCATTATTTTTTAAGAAAACAAAACAAAAACAGACGTGGAACTGGAAACCAATGTGTTGTGTATAACATGACAGTTTCACAGAGATGTTTACTTTGAGGCACCATAGGGAGGGGAGGGGACCTGAAAGTAACAGAGAATTATTAGCCATGGGAAGGGGAAGGAGGAGGGCATACAGCATATTAGAGTAGGGGAATATTATCAAACTACATTTTGTACAGAGACAGAAACCTTACAGATGAAATTTCTTACTTTGTATGCTTAGTATT